ATGTATGTATTTTTCTAGATATATTGACGATAGAGTTGTAGAGTGATAACGTAATATTGTAGGCCGACCCAGAAGTTAGCATGTCTCCCTCGAGAAAAAGCAATGGGATTTTTCCATTGGCTTTCTGGATATTGCAGGAAAAAATGTCTGTGGTTTACAGGTTTTGTTCAGCAGGATAATCTCCACATATGAACACCAATTTAAGATTTTTGAAGCGTAAATGCAATTGCTAGAGCTGACATCAGGCTAAAAACAAACAACATCACAGTAGCATTGCTGCACATTACCATCGCTAAGCTAAAGGCGGCTAATGCTCATTGTGATGATGTTTAGAAGACTCACTCTCCCTGTGCCCTTCCTTTCCTTTCACCTATGCCCCCATTTATACAACCCAGTGCATCTAATCAAGGCCAACAAGTGATCAAAAATAATAATGTAAGATATATCTAGAGAGAATAAATGGACAGGCCAACATAAATGGCTCCTAGACTGTATAACTGAAAAGGCAACTAGTAAGGAAACTTGTTTTTTTCTAAACTGTAAATCCAAGAAGCAGACGTCACAGTACCCAGAGGGGGGAGATAGTGGAGTACAAATACTTCATTACTGTACTTACTGTAAGTACATTTTTCTGGAATCAGTACTTTACTCCACTAATTATTTTTCTGACTACTTTTTACTTTGACTTCTTACATTTTTAACACAAATACCTGTACTTTCTACTTCTTACATTTTCAAAACAGGCTGGTTACTTTAGTTTTAATCTGCGTTTCATTACATTTATTAGAGCACTTTTTCGAATGCTCAAAGCGCTTTACATTACATATTACACATATCAGACATGTAACAGTGAATACAGCAAATTAGGGTGAAGTGTTTTGCCCAAGGACACAAAGTTATGGGTACTTTTTACTTAAGTACATTTCGAAGCCCATACTTCTTTACTTTTACTTGAGTAAAGAAGTTTAGTCAGTACTTCTACTTTCACCAGAGTATTTCTAAACACGAGTATCTGTACTTGAGTAAAGGACGTGTGTACTTTTGCCATCTCTGACAGTACCGTCCATAGAGTTTAATTGGACAGCTCAGACATCGTTATACTGACAAATATATAGTTTCAAATATTCCAAATGAAGGTTTTTAAAAATCCTCCTGAAATGAAACCATCTAAAGGCTGGAGGCCAGAGAGAGAATTTATAACCAAATCCAGATTCTCCAGCTCCCGTATCTGTCTCCTCGGGGAGTTTTGAGGCAACGCGCAGTAAAACTGTGACTGAGGAGTGAGCGATGGTGCTGACGGCTATAAGACTGCTGTGAGAGTGTTTTCACCACATGAGAGTTTGACTCGTTGCTCCAGACAGACCCTGAGATCACTATTTATGTTCCTGTTTTATACCTGGGGACCTCCACTGCTTCTATACACTCATGACATATGGCCTGGATTTATACTTACAACAGGACGGACAAAGGGAGCATTGTTCTGCGACTGTTAAACATTCAGAAGTTTAAATGATTTACGTAAGATTCAGATTCAGGGTACTAAAGTGCAGAAATAATTCTCTGAGCAATAGAGTTCAGATTTTAAGTGCTGGAGCATTCCACACAAGTATTTGCCATTATTGAAGAACTGTTTTAGGGCCTGTGTCCACATATTAGCTTTTTCTGAGTCTTTTTTTGATATATTCCAATGAAAACAGAGTGCATGACGTCTGAAGCTTAGAGCCTTTTTTTGTACGACCGCTCCCAGTGTTTCCATTTGAAAATATTTCAACTTTTCAGACAGGTGACATCACTGTAGACATTGGAGGAGAAGCTTGTTTTTTGCCGTGTCTGTCAGATGGAAACTATCATAACAAAGACCTAAAGCCCGTCGGTTTGAGCTGATTGGCCGGGAAGACCCTGGATGTTTCTGCCAAACAGTGTGTGACTTTTATCTCAGATCTCATATGTACGCAGATCGTTACACTCGCTCTACAGCTGTCAGACTGAGCGGTGAAGCTCAATCTGTCAAAGTGTGAGAGCAAGCATCTTCTGGTGGGTGAACATAGTGTAAAAACAACTTCAAACACATATATAGTAACACAAACAGATGCTAAAATCCAAGAGGGGGAAGTAAGTCTGTTTACTGTTTTTGCCAGAAAACGACGTTATGTGGACACAGATCTATAACCATATGTAACAACAATTACTAGGGATGTCCCGATCCGATCACGTGATCGGGGATCGGAGCCGATCACGTGATTTTCACGTGATCGGGGATCGGGAGAAAAAAATCGGGGATCGGATTTCTTTTTTTTTTTTTTTATAAAATATTTTTATACATTTTATTTAATGTTACAAAACAAAAATGACCATGTTCACGTCTTAAAGTCATCCTGAGGCCTTAGTTTTGGGTTAAAATTACACAACATCATGTATGTGTTGCTTCTTTTGGGCTTGTTTTCATAGACCTGGTTGCTTATTTCTCTCAAATCTGGCAACAGAGTGGGCGCAGTGTCTAATGGCGCATTTCCACTACACGGTCGGCCTCGGCCACACTCGGTACGGCTCGGTACGGCTTGGCCGCGTTGGGCCTTAACAGGGCCGACTCACTTCATGCTGCGCTTCCATTACAGTTTAGGAACTGGGGTAGTTACTATAGTAACGCAGTGTAGGCGGAGCCGTGACGTCATCTTCAATGAGAAATCCAGAAACACAACACAGCCGTTAGCTGTGAGCACTCAGAGCTCACAGCTCCTTATATATGTTCAGAAACTCGACAAAAGTTAAACAAGTACACACCACAGACTGCCTGTGTCATGGTGAATACAGTCGCTGCTGTATTTATGTCTGTATAGGCCGTTGTTGTGAGTGTGGACGGTCGGGGCATATACTGCGTTAGCTTAGCCAATCTCCATCTAGAAAAACACGAATTTTAAAAGGTTTTTCGCCTGCCGTCTGTCTGCAGACTTGACAAAGCATTAATTCATGGTTTTTACTAACCGGTATCAGTATGTTGTTACTTCGGCATCATTTTGAAACGTGTATTACAATTAAATCACGGTCAAATATGTCCATCTTGTTGTAGTTCTAGCCCTCTTGCCAGCGCTCCTCTCTCTAGTTTAGCATACTCAGCCCGACTCAGCCCTGTTTGTTGGCCCCGATAGAACCACAATTTTCTAGGGCCAGAAAAGAGGGGAAAAAGTGGCCCCGCGCCGTGCCGCGCCGGAACGAGGCCTAGTGGAAGCACAACCAAAAAAGGGGACGGCACGACACGGCACGCTTAAAGCGAGCTACGCGCTGCAATGGAAATGCGCATAGTAGCAGTAAGCTAACAAGAGGCTACGTTCAGCTGGTGACTCGGGAGTCGGGACAGAGAAAATGTCAGGAGTTTGAAAGTATTATAAAATTGAAAGCGAAGGCAGTGTAACAGCCAGATGCAATGTTTGCAAGGCGGAGGTTCCTCGTGGTGGAAAGAACAGAGCTACGTTCAACATGACCAATCTAATACAAACACCACCAACAACAACACGACGAGTACACAGCGGCCACTCAGGTAAAGGCACTGAAACAACCGACACTTTCAGAGACTTTTAAAAGGAAAGAGAAACTACCCCAGAACAGCCAAGATAGCTGAATTCATCGCGTTGGATGACCAGCCGTTATCTGTTACCTTTTTTTTCCTCTTAATGCATTGCATAAAGATCGGATCGGGAAAAATCGGTATCGGCAGATTGTCAAAATCAAATGATCGGAATCGGATCGGGAGCAAAAAAAGGTGATCGGGACATCCCTAACAATTACTCATGAGTGTAAGGCGTTGTGGCTTCCCCCCACTTATAATGGAAAGATAAGCAGCTTGGCACTGGAGCAAATCATAATGGCAGTAGTTGACAGAAAGTATACTCCAACTAAGACCAAAACAGAACCTGGGAAATTCACATAACTGAATGAAACTGAAGCAAAACCTATAAGAGGTGCCGCCTTACAGCAAGCCGCAAACATATTTGTTCCATTTAGGAACGTCAAGTCGAGTCAAGAAATGTAATTTAAAGGATTTTCTCTGCTGTTCAACGCAGTTGGCCCGTCTGGTTTTGCCTATCATTTCCTCTCAGATCCTTACAATCAGCTCATTCCCCTCACCTGGTTTCAGCCCCTCTCCTCACCTGCTGTTCATTCCCTCATTAGCCTCACAGCATATACACCACCTCCCTTTCACTTGGTACTGCCAGATTGTCTGGTGTGTTTCTGCCAAGCTCAATTTCAGTGAGTTAGGGCCTGTGTCCACACTTTTCTGGCAGAGCGCTGGGGAAAGCCTCAGCCCAACGTTTGGATTTTTTTAGTTTGTGCTACTATATATTTGCTTGACATCATTTTTGCTCCCACACTTTATCTGAATGAGCTTCAGTGCTCAGTCTGACAGCCGTAGAGCGAGGAGGAAAACCAAGGTAACATCTAAGTTTCCAGTAAACTTTTCCGCAATTAATCATAGGGGTGGTTCATTTTTGTATAGTTAAGATACCCACAAGTATTCGGGAGAGGCCTCATTGAAAAGGAAGAGCAGCAACCTATACTATATGCCCCTTTTACATGCATGTAGTATAGAAAAGTGTAACAGAACAGTAAAATGCTAAGAGGTCAAATGGTTCTCTACAAACCAGAGGGTTGGTGTTTTAACTCTGACCCTTTTTAGTCAACATGTCAAAGTGTCCTTGGGTAGGATATTGAAACAGAAATTGCTCCAGTAGTATTGCACTGATAGACACCCATAATGTTGTAATTCAATATTTTTAGACCAAAAGCAAAATACAAGTCATATTGAGGTATTTCCGTTGAATATGTTTCCATCATTCTTCAACGCACCCTCATCTGTTTTGACATGCCAACTTCTCTTACTCATAAAATGAAGTTGATATATTGTGATAGTTTTCTAAATCTGTTTCAGACTCCACACTGAAATCGACAACAGACACTTTATTTATGTAGAATAGAAATCACCATCAATCAAAGCTTTGACTTACCTCCATCAGTTTGGACGAGCAGAGGGCGGTCAATCCTCTCCTCTTCCGCCTCTTCCTGGTCATCACTGTGAAGGTTAACCAGCTTCTGCGATGGCTCACTCTCCTGCAGATTGACCCTTAATACTTCCTGGGTCGTGCTCATTTTTTGGGTCACGGGGGTTGTCAGGAAGTCGGGCGTCGTGGGGGAGTTGGTGGTGGGCTTTGTTGTGATCCTTTCCTTTCTACTGGTTGGATCTCTGCCCTCTGACTCCTCCTGGATTACCTCCTGTGGTGCTGGATTTATCTTGTAGGGAACATCCAATCCTTCAGGCCCAGTGACACTAAAAGATGTTTCTAGTTTGTCCTCCTCTTCATCCATTCCTTCCTCAATGTCCGGTGCTATGGTCCCCTGTAAGTCTTTTTCAACATTTGGGCTTTTTGGGCTGCTCTGCATATAAAGTGGAACATTTTCTTGATTGGTTTGACTGTCTATAGCTCTCACTGTATGACTAACATTGATTTGACTCTTTGAATCAATGGACGTCACACCCTCTGATGCACTTTGGTTATAAGTCTGAGTCTCAGAGCTTATCTGATGATGAACTGCACTCTCTGGACTCAAAAGAGGGTGTTTTTCACTCCCTAATTCCCGAATGAGTGGAAATATGACACTATCTGAACTCTCAAACGCATGCAGAGGATTCTCCAGATCTTTCTTCGTTGTGATATCACCGACTGAAACACTTTGAGCACTTGTTGGACTCTGTGAAGGCTGCCAAGAAGTGGTGTCCATTTTTGTTTGTGGCTTAATAGTCCTCTGCTGTTCTCCTATTGGACTTTCCGTCACTTCCTCTCTGTCTGCAGGATGTTCATGAACTTTGTGTCGCTCTCTCAGCTCCAGCTTGTTTTGTCTATCAAAGCTCTTAAGGGCGGTGGTTCTGTCAGAGCCTCGAGACACAGATATGAGCTTTTTGGAGGAAGAGGACTGGGTGGGGAAGGCTAGAGATTGTGGGTAAGGCTCTGGAAAGTCTGTAGGATTATAATCATAATCTTCTGACTCCTCCTTCATCAAGGGCAATATTCCCTCCGAAGGCAGTGTTTTGAAGAGGGGAAGGTTGGGAGGAAGTTGATGTGGTGTTGAGAATTGATCCGTTCGCCCTTGTTGGTCAAACCTTTCGGCGTGACTCTTGTGTCTGTCCTCGTCTGTTGGTTCAGCTAACATTGGGTTATGGACCTTGTTCTGGTCACATTCTGGCACAGGGTAACACATCATTTTCCCTCCTTCAGGGGGACAGTGGCAAACCTGGCAAGGGTCAGTGTTTAATGAGTGCCCGGCGTCGTACTTTTGCCCGTCGTAGATGCAACCAACTCGTTCGCACTGCATGCAACCGTCCACAGGCTCCGAGACATCGATGCAGTTTGGCGGCAAATCAGGACAGCTGATGAAATCACAGCTGATTCTTCCCCCTCCTGTCGGGCAGAGGCACTCTGTACTGCCGTAGTCAACAAAGTAAGACTCTCCCTCTGCCACCTTGCCGTTCTTGAAGCCAGCATGGAGACAATCATAGTATTGGTAACCCTCACACATGCATCCTTTCTGCAAACATGAAGCGCAACAGCTGCCACTGTCCAGCACTTCTTCGATACAGTTGTCCAGCTGAGGACAGTCCACACCGGTGCAGTCTCGCTGACACAAGCACACACTCGAGCAAAGAAAGAGGATTGTAAACCTGAGAAGAAGTACTTCAGCTTTTAGAGCAGCCATGGCACCAGGTGGGTACAATAATCAAAGGAGATCCGGTTTCATTCAAGGGTTTATCTTCAAGGATTCTGGCGCATTCTGTGAACCATCTTTACTCTGCAAGAAAAAAGAGAAAGGTAGACAGAGGCTTTTTTCACAAAATGAAAGCAGACCAACATCTGGCTCGATAGTTAATCCCACAAGTCTACCGCGTACCTGATTATCTCTACAGGAACAATTTCCTCGACAATCTTGGTTGCAATGAAACCCTAAATTGTAACTGCTGAACATAGAGAGTGCAGTTTGGAGTCTGTGGGGAAATGATAACACTTAATGGAAAGTACATTCTCAGAAGAAATGTGTGAAGTAGAGAACAAAGTACGCAGTCTTCTTGTTTTTAAATGAGTTTGAAAAGTTGATCAGACTCAAAGTGTTGCAATTATGATCTCTTATGTTAATTCTGTTTGGTAACACATCATTATTATGCTAAACATTTGTGAGTTTCCTTTCTGAGCTTTCCAAGAAGCTTCACATTACTGTCTTTGCCAACATGTTTTTAGCCAGCTCTTCTGTAAGACAATCTGCATATGTTCCCATGGTAGTGGATGCTTGCTGGCTGGCCATCTTTAAAAGTAAACAAACCCCCCCACATCAAACTCAAACTGCTCTAATCCTGGAGAGATATTCATGAAGTATCTATGAAGTGCTGAATTTAACACTGATCCGTCACATAGGTCCTGTCAGAAAGCATTTAATCCACATCACCCTGACAATGATCCCAACATGTGAAAAGCCAACCACCGTAGAGGATGTTGTGACTAAAGCTTATAATAGTACTCAGATGTTATATTTAAGTAAAATGGCTATATACAATTGTAAAAATACTCTGTTATAAGGTAAAGTCTTTCATGCAAATCACTTAAGACACAAGTATTGTCTCAAAATATACTTAAAGTACCAAAAGTAATAGTTCTCGTTATGCATTAAGTCCCATTTCAGAATCATATTGAATGACTGTTTTATGATTATTGATGCATTAATGTGTTCATCACAGCTGGTGAAGGTGGACCTAATTGTAAGACTTCATACACTGCTGGATATCGTAACATATAATTATACATCAATGTTAATTTATGTTTAAATGTAAAATTGTGGCTCCCAAAATGAAGTGGAAATAAAGTAGCATAAAATAAAATACTCAGGTGAAGTACAAGTACCTCAAACTTTTGCTTAAGTACAGTACTTGAGTAAAACTAAATTATACCACTGGTTGTGACAAAGTGAAATTCTAACTAGTTTTTGTATTTTGGTGTAAAAAAATATACATTTAAAGTACTTTAATGGAAAGAAAATAATGGCTTTGTTGGTCACCATGCAGTGCATCTCCAAGCAGCAAACTGTAGTGTAAACCAGTGTGTTCAACTATTACAGCCTTTTACCGTGCTCTATAATAAAGGTGTTTCTTTATTGTTTTTCCCACACCATTAAAAAGGCTGTTTTTAATATGTTATAGTGTCAAAGCCAAGCATATCTAACAAACAATGACAAGCAGAGAAATAGAAGAAGGGTTGAATAATTTGCCATCTGTATGCAGTTAGCTACATGAGAGACTTTAGAGCCCTATTTTGGACCAAACAGACTAGGAGGTGGAAGAACTACTCAGATGTTATACTGTAAAAATACTCTGTTACAAGTAAAAGTCCTGCATTCAACAGCTTAGTGCAAAAGTAATGGGATCAAAATATACTTTAAGTACCAAAAGTATACTTGATATGCATTACTAAATCATTATAGATGCATGAATGTGTTCATCACAGCTGGTAAAGGTGGTTTTAATAACTTTATTTACTGCTGCTGGAGATCTTAATCTATAATGATATGTTGATTTATAATTTGTATTGGCTAATAATGTGACTCTGTAAAGTAACTAAAGCTGTCATTTTTAATGTAGTGGTGTAGAGAAAAGGGATATATTAGATATATAATATTAGCTTCTGACATCTAGTAGAGTGGAAGGGAAAAGTAGCATAATACAAATACTTGGTTAAAAAAGTACCTGAAAATGTACTCAGGTACAGTACTTGAGTAAATGTACTTCATGACATTGCACCACTGAGCAGACTGCATAGATTTTGAAGAATTGTTTCAACCTATCATCGTTTCTCACCTGAAAGGACTCACCAAACTCAAACACTGGTCCCAATTGCAGCGAAAAGTGAAATTGAATTCCCCCAAAAACTTTAAAAAGTGAGCCTCCTCTGTATCGACGGACTCTACGGTGCTACCACAACACCCGGGGATTAATCTGCATGCTCCAAATCCTCGATACAAAGCTGAAGAAAGTCCAAAGAGTTGCTAAAAACCGGTTTGAGTTACTGGAGATCTGCGGGCTGTCGGTGCTCTGCTATCCGCTCAGAGTGAGTCTTCAGACGGTCAGAGAGCGACTGGAGCCCCGGGCAGACACACCCACTAAAATACAACTCAAACCCCCTCCTCCCCCTCCCAACTTTTACTAACCTCTACCCAGCCTTTCTCTCTCTCTCTCTCTCTCTCTCTCTCTCTCTGTCTCTGTCTCTGTCTCTCTCTCTCTCTCTGTCTCTGTCTCTCTGTCTCTCTGTCTCTCTGTCTCTCTGTCTCTGTCTGTGTGTCCGCAGATACAGAGACTTTCTCAGGCAAATGTTGGTGGGAGCACCGCTGGAGGAAATCCCATCCTAATGTTATTATAGTGTTCTTAAAATAGTTCTCTATCTGTGTTTTTAAATTTTGGTTGACTTTTATGTATGCACCACGACACCAAGTCAAATTCCTCATACGTGTCCACCTACCTGGTAATAAACCTGTTCCTGATTCTGATTCTGATCCTGATGTGTAATGAAGAGCACACAGATGTGCAGGGTAACTTTTAAAATGTATTCCGTTACAATTACTGGTTAACCGTAGAAATCAGTAAACTGATCGCAGTATCAAAATATAAAAAAAGCAATGTAACCTGATTACTTTTCACTTTTGCATCACCTCAATATCAAATGTTTTTGTAAGACAATAGAACAATGTGACCTTAGAAAAGAAGAAACTAAGATATTTAGGATCAGAAATGATTTTATTGATAGGAAAAGCTGCCTTTCATGAAGCATATTCAGCCTGTACACCAACAATGAAACACATGAGCACATACTACAGTTTAAAAAAGCAGGAATACAATCTGAGCTGACAGAAAATCCTCCGTTTTAGTTTAACACACACAGTTAAGATCACACACACACACATGGATGAACATATAGGTTCACCTGCTGAATTAAAAACAGAACAAATGAAGCAAAGAAAGTGAAAACCATAAAGCAGATTCAGGCAGTAGAAGCATATATTCACCATTATCCTACAGAACAGTACAGCTCACAGAGAAGAGAGAACATCTGATCCTTTACAGCAAACACTATCTGCTCTTTTTAGTTTGTTACTAACACTGTAATCCTGCTACATGTCGTTATCCCCGAATTTCAGAAATGTAACAGTAATATGAAGTTACCTTTTTTTTACGATTACGTCATCCTGTTACATGTAATCCATTACTCCCAAAGCCTGGGCCTGGGGTGGAGTTTTGGTTGGTCACATGATCACAGATAAGACCACTTTCAGAGGAGTGGGCCGGCTCACAAATAGAGATAAAACAATGGAGAGGTCTCACATTCAGAGTGAAGACCTGTCACAACTTGCCTACATTTGTTTTCCAATCTGCCCGGGTCACACTTCCTCACATATGAAAATGGATTCGGCTGTGACAGAAGTTCACTGCAGTTTCGTCAGAGTTTCTCACAGACGACGGTGTAGGAGAGGGAGATTATGTTATATATTTATTCATGTATTTAACAGGGACAGTGCACATTAATCAACACCTCCAGACTGAAGACTTTCTTTTTGCCGCTACTTTTAATTGAACTATTCACATCTTACACCGCACTGTAACTTTTATTTATGTACCTGTATTATTCATGTTTTAATATCTTTGCTTTTGAATGTTTCTAATGTGTTTTATGCTCTTAAAGTCTTTCATTTTTGTAAAGCACTTTGAATTGCCTTGTGTTGAAAAGTTCTATATAAATAAACTTGCCATGCCTTACCTCTGTAAATGTAAGAGGCTAATTTTCATCTGTCGTCCCTGGACAGATTTTGTATGTCAACCTAAAGACACATTTCATTTTAAACAAGTAAAAACATGCAACATACAGTAGATTAGAGAGGGGGTTGCCATGGTGTGGTGAACAAACTCTGATGTTGCACTCGTAACACGATCAGGCTATGAAACACTGCGTGGGACTTCAACAACGCATGGGTGAGATTTGTAGAATCCCTGTGTGATCCACGGGGAAATCTGCCAGATGCAGACCAGTGTTTGAGAGAGAAACACACTGCTGTCCCTCGCATGGTTTATTGAAGACAGGCCAGCTTTTAGTTCCTCTTGGCAATTACAGTATGTCGTGGAATATTGGCTGCAAAAGAGTATTTCATTACTGTTCCGAAAATGTGAGACACAGACTGAAGATTGCCCAGAATGGGTTTCATATCAGTCCGCAGGGAAATGGAACAAACTTTAGATAACTTTCAACTTTAGCTAAGATGACTATTACTCTCTTCTGCAAAAAATCTGAAGCTTAAGGAGAATAAGATCATGTTATATACTGAATATGCAACATCTACTGAAAGAGGTCATATTCTGATCATTTTCAGCTGTATATCAGTATAGTGTCTCTACTTTAAAGAGTCCTCTCCTGCTGATGTTCAGGTGTATATCAGTATGTAGTGTCTCTACTTTAAAGAGTCCTCTCCTGCTGATGTTCTGGTGTATATCAGTATGTAGTGTCTCTACTTTAAAGAGTCCTCTCCTGATGATGTTCAGGTGTATATCAGTATGTAGTGTCTCTACTTTAAAGAGTCCTCTCCTGCTGATGTTCAGGTGTATATCAGTACATTATGTAGTGTCTCTACTTTAAAGAGTCCTCTCCTGCTGATGTTCAGGTGTATATCAGTATGTAGTGTCTCTACTTTAAAGAGTCCTCTCCTGCTGATGTTCAGGTGTATATCAGTATGTAGTGTCTCTACTTTAAAGAGTCCTCTCCTGCTGATGTTCAGGTGTATGTCAGTATGTAGTGTCTCTACTTTAAAGAGTCCTCTCCTGCTGATGTTCAGGTGTATATCAGTATGTAGTGTCTCTACTTTAAAGAGTCCTCTCCTGCTGATGTTCAAGTGTATATCAGTATGTAGTGTCTCTACTTTAAAGAGTCCTCTCCTGCTGATGTTCAGGTGTATATCAGTATGTAGTGTCTCTACTTTAAAGAGTACTCTCCTGCTGATGTTCAGGTGTATATCAGTATGTAGTGTCTCTACTTTAAAGAGTCCTCTACTGCTGATGTTCAGATGTATATCAGTATGTAGTGTCTCTACTTGAAAGAGTCCTCTCCTGCTGATGTTCAAGTGTATATCAGTATGTAGTGTCTCTACTTTAAAGAGTACTCTCCTGCTGATGTTCAGGTGTATATCAGTATGTAGTGTCTCTACTTTAAAGAGTCCTCTCCTGCTGATGTTCAAGTGTACATCAGTATGTAGTGTCTCTACTTGAAAGAGTCCTCTCCTGCTGATGTTCAGGTGTATATCAGTATGTATTTGTCTCTACTTTAAAGAGTCCTCTCCTGCTGATGTTCAGATGTATATCAGTATGTAGTGTCTCTACTTTAAAGAGTCCTCTCCTGCTGATGTTCAGGTGTATATCAGTATGTAGTGTCTCTACTTTAAAGAGTCCTCTCCTGCTGATGTTCAGGTGTATATCAGTATGTAGTGTCTCTACTTTAAAGAGTCCTCTCCTGCTGATGTTCAGGTGTATATCAGTATGTAGTGTCTCTACTTTAAAGAGTCCTCTCCTGCTGATGTTCAGGTGTATGTCAGTATGTAGTGTCTCTACTTTAAAGAGTCCTCTCCTGCTGATGTTCAGGTGTATATCAGTATGTAGTGTCTCTACTTTAAAGAGTCCTCTCCTGCTGATGTTCAGGTGTATATCAGTATGTAGTGTCTCTACTTTAAACAGTCCTCTCCTGCTGATGTTCAGGTGTATATCAGTATGTAGTGTCTCTACTTTAAAGAGTCCTCTCCTGCTGATGTTCAGGTGTATATCAGTATGTAGTGTCTCTACTTTAAAGAGTCCTCTCCTGCTGATGTTCAGGTGTATATCAGTATGTAGTGTCTCTACTTTAAAGAGTCCTCTCCTGATGATGTTCAGGTGTATATCAGTATGTAGTGTCTTTACTTTAAAGAGTCCTCTCCTGCTGATGTTCAGGTGTATATCAGTATGTAGTGTCTCTACTTTAAAGAGTCCTCTACTGCTGATGTTCAGATGTATATCAGTATGTAGTGTCTCTACTTGAAAGAGTCCTCTCCTGCTGATGTTCAAGTGTATATCAGTATGTAGTGTCTCTACTTTAAAGAGTACTCTCCTGCTGATGTTCAGGTGTATATCAGTATGTAGTGTCTCTACTTTAAAGAGTCCTCTCCTGCTGATGTTCAAGTGTACATCAGTGTGTAGTGTCTCTACTTGAAAGAGTCCTCTCCTGCTGATGTTCAGGTGTATATCAGTATGTATTTGTCTCTACTTTAAAGAGTCCTCACCTGCTGATGTTCAGATGTATATCAGTATGTAGTGTCTCTACTTTAAAGAGTCCTCTCCTGCTGATGTTCAGGTGTATATCAGTATGTAGTGTCTCTACTTTAAAGAGTCCTCTCCTGCGGATGTTCAGGTGTATATCAGTATGTAGTGTCTCTACTTTAAAGAGTCCTCTCCTGATGATGTTCAGGTGTATATCAGTATGTAGTGTCTCTACTTTAAAGAGTCCTCTCCTGCTGATGTTCAGGTGTATATCAGTATGTAGTGTCTCTACTTTAAAGAGTCCTCTCCTGCTGATGTTCAGGTGTATATCAGTATGTAGTGTCTCTACTTTAAAGAGTCCTCTCCTGCTGATGTTCAGGTGTATATCAGTATGTAGTGTCTCTACTTTAAAGAGTCCTCTCCTGCTGATGTTCAGGTGTATATCAGTATGTAGTGTCTCTACTTTAAAGAGTCCTCTCCTGCTGATGTTCAGGTGTATATCAGTATGTAGTGTCTCTACTTTAAAGAGTCCTCTCCTGCTGATGTTCAGGTGTATATCAGTATGTAGTGTCTCTACTTGAAAGAGTCCTCTCCTGCTGATGTTCAAGTGTATATCAGTATGTAGTGTCTCTACTTTAAAGAGTCCTCTCCTGCTGATGTTCAGGTGTATATCAGTATGTAGTATCTCTACTTGAAAGAGTCCTCTCCTGCTGATGTTCAGGTGTATATCAGTATGTAGTGTCTCTACTTTAAAGAGTCCTCTCCTGCTGATGTTCAGGTGTATATCAGTA